ATGTGTGCCACTGTGTTTGAGTAAATTGGGGTTTTCTTAAATATTGTGTACCTATTAGGTTATTAATCCTGTCTCAAAACTGAGATGTTTCAAACTCTTGTCTTCATGGGTTTTAAGTCGATGAGCTGACAGCATTGAATAATGCTTTCAATGTTATAGGACCTTTAGTAACAGTATGGAACAGCCAAGTTAAACTTTTCCTTCCTCTGTCACTTGTTGCCTGTGTGTCTTGGACAAGTTCCTGCATTTCTCTGGAGTCCTGTGGTTTGAAATTTTGTTTGTTTTTTTGGTTGGTTGATTTTTGGTACCAAGAATCAAACTCAGAACCTTTCACTTGCCAGGAAGAGCTTGTACTGCTGAGCCAAATCCCTGGCCCTGAATTGTGTAGATGTAGAGCTGGGCATGGTGGCTCAAGCCTGTAATACCGGCAAGCAGGATGCTGAGGCAGGAGGATCACCACAAGTTGGAGGCCATCCTGGCCTACATGGTGAGCTCAGACCAGCCTGACCTACATAGTGACACCCTGTCTCAAAACACCAAAAAGTAAATTTTTTAAGTGTGGCATGAAGCTTCTTCTTACAGCAGAAGGGATAATGCAACTGATACACTGAGCTCCTGTTTTCCAGGAGTGGAAACAGACATGAGTTTCAATTTATTAGGTTTATGATCTTGATAAACCTTCAGAGCCTCTATTTTCTCTTTTGTGAAATGAGGATAATTGTTTCAGAGTAGTTATGAAGATAAAATAAGTATGTTAATGTGTGAAGTGTTCCTAGTGCTGGGCCCTGGAAGTCACTTAAGCAGGAGCAGTGAACAGTGATAGTTTTTGCTGCTGAGGTGTAATTTGTTTTTCCATTAAGTACATTAATGTGAGGGGAATTCACCATGGAGCAAGCAGCTGTCATTTTAGAGATAGCATCTCTGAATTGCCTGGGCTAACCACTCCTTACAGGAATAATACCTTTTAAGTAGGTCATAAGGTGTAGTGGGGGGCTGGAGAGATGGCTCAGTGGTCTAAAGCACCTACTTGGAACAAGCTTGGCAAAGCACAGGGACCACGGTTCGATCCCCCAGCACCACATGCCAGCCAGCTGCGCCCCCTGGTGGGCTGAGCTGGACACACACACACACACACACACACACACACACACACTAAATTAAAAAAAATTTGAGAAAAAAAAAAAGGTGTAGTGGGCAGGGCCGGGGTTACAGCTCAGTAGCACAGCACCTGCCTCACAAGTGTGAGGTTCTTAGTCCATTCTTGGTACCAAAAAAAAAAAAAAAAAAAGCTGGGCATGGTGGTGCATGCCTGTAATTCCAGCACTAGGGAAGCTGAAGCAGGAGGATCACTGAGAGTTAGAGATGGATCTGGGCCACAAAATGAGCTCAAGGCCAGCCTGAGCCGAGTTGTGTAGGGAGACCCTGTCTCAAAAAGACCCCCTCCCCAAAAAAAAAATGTTGTGGGGTAGATTTAGGAGTGTCATTAGAGGTTTTGGTTTTCAGGGGGTTTTAGAATGTAAACAATAATATTTTACAGTACTTCATTTCTAAAATCTCTTTAATGAGGGAGTAGGAAATACTATGTAAATTAGTGCAGGTAAAGCCATAGGTACAATGTAAGGGAGGTCAGTTCATAATCTTCATTTATGTTAGATACATGTCACTTGGATAGGTCATGCTGCTGTGAAACTGTTTTGTTTTATGTTGAGTTCATGGAATAGCATAGGTGCAGCATGTGTTTCATATACACATGAATTCCCCTTGAGTTTCAGTGCGTGCATGTCTGAGATTGCGCTTCAGAGGTAGCCCAGGGAGCTGGGGCCCACTGCCCCTGCCCCGTCAGGAAAGTGGGTTGCAAAGCCAGCAGCCCCAGAGAATCAGGACAGCTTCCCTGCCACAATGCTCCCCTCATTCTTGACATGAGGTTTGCTGACTTGGGGCACACTGTTTAACCTTTAGGCTTACTTTCCTGTGCTGTGTACCACAGGTCAATAAAATCAGTTGTGTCTTTAGAAAAAAAGAAAGTGCTTTGCAAATTATAAAGCAATTCTTAATTATAAGTAAGGGATTAGCGTTTGTGAGTGATCTGAAGGAGTTCTCCCCAAAACTGTCCTCGGTGGGTTATCCAGTAGACAGAAGGATCAAGATTTTTTAAATATTTATTTATTTATTTGGTGCAGGATCTCACTGCACAGCTTGGACTCATAGTGATCCTTTTGTCTCAGCCTCTCCAGTGCTGGGCTTACAGGTGTGCACCATCACGCCAGTTTTGTTGGCCAGCATGGCCTGCTTCAAGCTGGCCCAATGTGTAGTATTGGGGATGGAACCTGGGTCCTTGTGCTTGCCAGGCAGGCGCTTAGACAGCTGAGCTATCTCCCTGGCCCCAGAATCAAGATTTTTTTTTTTTTCTGGGTTGGCACCTAGGTCTTTGGGTGGCTTTTTATTTTTTATTTTATTTATTTATGTGTGTGTGTGTGTGTGTGTGTGTGGTCAGCTCAGCCCAACAGGGGGCGGGGCTGGCTGGCATGTGGTGCTGGGGGATTGAACCGCGGTCCCTGTGCTTTGCTAAGCTTGTTCTCAGAAGGTGCTTTAGACCACTGAGCCATCTCACCAGCCCCAAGACTTTTTTTTTTTTTTTTTTGGCAGAACCAGGGATTGAACTCTGGCCCTTGCGCTTGCCAGGGAAGCACTTATTCCACTGAGTCATCTCCCTGGCCCCAGAATCAAGATTTTTTTTTTTTTTCTGGGTTGGCACCTAGGTCTTTGGGTGGCTTTTTATTTTTTATTTTATTTATTTATTTATTTATGTGTGTGTGTGTGTGTGTGTGTGGCCAGCTCAGCCCAACAGGGGGCGGGGCTGGCTGGCATGTGGTGCTGGGGGATTGAACCGCGGTCCCTGTGCTTTGCTAAGCTTGTTCTCAGAAGGTGCTTTAGACCACTGAGCCATCTCACCAGCCCCAAGACTTTTTTTTTTTTATTTATTTTGCAGAACCGGGGATTGAACTCAGGCCCTTGTGCTTGCCTGGGAAGCACTTATTCCACTGAGCCATCTCCCCAGCCCCCATCTCCCCAGCCCCAACAGTAATTTTAAAATTAGGGTGTGGTATGCTAGAATTGTTTTCCCTGGAATGTAAACTCCAGCATTCTCAGTGAAAGTCCATGCTGCCTGCAGCTGCACACTGCATTTTCCAGGGCTCTTACAAGCTGTCAGGTGCGCTATCACAATCTCCTGTTTCGCATGCCTGGAAGCCCTGGTTGTGCCCTGTTCACACTCTGCTGCTCAATGCTGGGAAGGGTTGTAAGGTGGGAGTGGGTGAGAGAGCCTCGAGGAACCTAGAGAGGAAGGAGGGGATCTCTTCACTTGGTTTTTAAACATTTACACAGACAGTTAAACTCTCTGCCAAGGGGTCACTAGAGGTTGGGCCTGGGTAACACCTTTGTCATTTCATTAGTTGGCCTCAGGAAGAACACTGATTCATGTTTCAAAAGAAATTTTAAAAAGCCCTTTTTAAAAAGTTTCAAACAGCTTTTTAGCAGCTGTGCTTTTTTATAGCATTTCTGATACATTTACAGGAGTTCTTGGTTTTTACAATACTGAGGTTGAAACCCGCAGCCTTGTGTGTGGCTAGGCAAACTTCACCACTGAGCCATATTACATGCACATCCCCTTTACGTACATAGTACAGGTTCTTTAATAGGGTTTGGAAGGCTAGGTGGAAGATAGAAGCTTTTTAGCAGTGGCTTACAAGAAACCTTTAAAACGTGAATAGCTGTGGAGTGTGGTGGCGCAACCCATAATCCCAGCTCTTGGGAGGCTGAGGCAGGAGGATTGCTGCAAGCTCAAAACCAGCCTGGGCTATACATAGTGAGTTCAAGGCCAGCCTGAACTGCATAGTGAACCCTGTCTGGAAAAAAGAAAAAAAAGTGAATAACGTTGTATTTTTATTTTTTTATTTTTTGAGACAGGGTCTCATTATGTAGTTCAGGCTGGCCTTGAACTCACTTTTTAGCCCAGGCTGGCCTCATCTAAGCCTCCTGAGATCAGGCATCCTCCTGCCTCAGCCTCCCAAGAGCTGGAATTGCAGGCATATGCCACCATGCCTGGCTGTGAGCAGCAGTTTTAAGGTTACACCAGTTTTCAAAGCTTGCAAGATGAAGGTCAAGTCCATCTGAAAGATGGTAACAGTTGTTTTTTTTTTGGGGGGGGGCATAGAAAGGTAGAATTAAATAAAAGTACACACTGTTTTGACAGCCCTCTAGAGAGATGCACAGTTTTAATTCTGAAGTAGTTTTGGCTTCCTTGAACCAGATCTGTCATTATGTTAAGTGAGCAGCATGGTTGATGCAGACCCTGTGGGGAGAAGATTAGCACAGCAGCATCTCTGAGCCAGGAGTCAGGCTGAGGGAGGCACACCTGTAGTCCCAGCCCTCAGGGACACTGAGGCAGGGCTTCAGGCTTGTGCTCAGCCTAGGCAGCTTAGTGAGTTACTGAAAGCCTGTCTCAAATAAAAAATACTAGAAGAAAATGTAGGGATATAGCTCAGTGAGGTCTTGGGTTCCATTCCGAGGAATGCAGAGGTACAGAAAGAGAGAGACGAGACTGTCTATGTTTGTGTCTCTTGGCTGAGGTCTGGGGACAGAGGAAGCTTGGAGAGGAGGGGGGCTGTGCGCCGTGACCTCCACCCCATGGTGGGTGGGCCAGTGCCTGGAAAGGCATTGCTGTCCTGGGGAGTGCTGTGATGAGGGCACAGCCCTGCAGCAGTGGTACTGGTGGGTTCAGGGGAGGCTCGCTGGCACGTGTCTCTGTGAGACGGCACAGCACGGCATGGCTACCGAAGGGGTTTGTCTGCCTGTAGCCGTGGCCAGGTGGGGAACCAGCGGTTGGTGTTAGCTTGGTCAGGTGATTTGCGTGGGGAGTGGTATCTCGAGTAACGTGGAATGCTTTTTGCTCTGAAAGTATTCAAATATTGGTTGTTAGCCCATTATTCCTTCTTTCATAGGTAAAAAACAAGAAGCAGATGAGTTGAGTGGAGATGCTTCTGTAGAAGACGACACTTTTGTCAAGGTAAAGTGTTCCCTACTCAGGTCAAGATGTTGATGCCTGCTGTAATGCTGCCTTCTGTCCCGTAACTTGAATGATGGAAACGTGTAGGTTAAGTCCCAGAGGCTTGGTGCTTACGGCCACCACCATTAACTTCCATCACTGAGAAACCTAATAAATACCTGTTTCTTCAATTAGATGAGACATAAAGCTGAACATAACCTGTCCAGGCCTTTAAGTTTGAGACATAAAGGTCAGAGAAACAGCTACAGACAGTTGATACGGTAGTTATTACACAGGGTGCTATCACAAAGAAGATTGATAATTTTTTAATCTTGTTCGGTTTAACTTTTGTACATAAACAGGACTCAGATCAGTTTAAGACCTTAAAATGGGAAAATTACAGTTAACAATCAGAGTAAGAAACTTTTTTGCCTTTTAAAGATAATCCACTAGGTGTGGTGGCGCATGCCTGTAATCCCAGCTCTTGGGAGGCTGTGGCAGGAGGATCACTGAGTTGGAGGCCAGCCTGGGCTACATAGTGAGTTGGAGGCCAGCCTGAACTGTGTAACAAGATCCTCTTTCATAAAATAAAAAATGATAGCCATGACAGAATTTTTTTTTTTTTTTTGGCTGTACTGCAGATGTGGATGAGTCCCCTTTCGTTATACTTGGCTTTGATTGTAATGAAATTTACTTTTTGTTACTGTGAAAGCACTGTGGTAGTTGTGTTACCCAAGGAGCATTGTTCTTCACACATCACGTGCATTTTACCTCCATGGTTATGTCACGGTATCTTCCAGGAGGCAGCCAGTGTCCCTCCACGCACCCCTTTGCTCCTTCCTTGTTCTGAACCCCTCCCCACACCCCATGTCATAACCACAGTTCCCTTGAGAAAGGAGCATTTAGTTGAGGTGCCCACCTTGAAAGCAGATAATTTTCAGCAGTTTCCATTACAATTCATGATTATATGCCTTTGCCCAGCTTTGGATTAGCCTTTTCAAGCTCCTCCAGTTTGTTCTTCTGGACTCCGGGATACCTTGTGGCGTGTCTTGCATTAGATCTGCTACTGTACACAGTTGTCCTCACTAGTAAGTGTGTAATTAGGCAGAAGTTATCCACAAGTTGGATTGTAACTTGATAAAGAGGCCTTTAATTTTCAAATATCTTTGAGTTTTTCACTTCGTGAGGTTGTTAGTCATTTTGAATGTTACAGGAGAACTACCTGCCTGCCCTGAGAATATTACTACTGGCTCACATCTGTGTCAGGAAGGGTACTTTTGTGTTATTAGTAACAAATATTAACTCCTATCTGGTCCCCAGATAGGAGTGGCCCACAAGCGCACATGTCTTGTGATGCTTGGGAGAGCAAAGAGCAAAGAACTTTTTAAAAGATGTAACTTGACTGTCTTCACTGTATGTTCTTACTATGGAAGTATCAGCATATATGTTTGATAGAAATTAAGCAAATTTATTTTTCTTGTCTAGTTTTGGAATTTATGCAGTAGCGATGGGTACACATCACCTATTGCCTAAATACATGAATAGCTTAAAATTTGTTTTTGCAGGTAAGTGGAGACTGACTGGAGTTGGCGGCTGAGAGGAGACGAAGCTCCCTTGGCGGCTGCTCCTTGCTATTCCCCCCCCGCCCCCCCAACCGGGGATTGAACTCAGGCCCTTGCACTTGCCAGGGAAGTGCTTTTTCCACTGAGCCATCTCCCCGGCCTCTCCTTGCTATTTTGCTGCTGTCCTGCAGTCACATAGTCACCAGTTCCTCTCAGCCTCCTGGTCCCCAGATAGGCGTGGCCCACAAGGGCACCCTGGTCTCGGGGTTGCCACACCAAAGCAGCCCCAGGCCCCCTTGCCACGGGTCTGCCCTCTGCAGTGGCTGCTGTCAGTGATTAATAGTCCTGTCTCTGTACTTTGCTCTCACTGACCCAGAGTCTTTTCTTAAAACTGCTGGGACCTGGGTTTTCTATGAGAATGGTGAAGGAAGGTTCATGGCTTTCAGCTCTGCAGTCACTGAAAGAAGAAACTAAGCAGATCGCTGGGCTTGCTTGCACTGAATATCATATATTTACAAGCTTAGATGGTCACACGGAGCTTCCTTCACAGAGCTAATCCCAACCATATTTCCCTTGCTTATGTTGTGGCACAGTGACAGATTTCCAAACAAACACGTTTAAATTAGTGCTTGTGTATTTTTCTCAAGAACATTGATGAAGCCGTTGGGAATTCCTTATTAACTACAAGTAAATTTCATGTTTTAACATAAGACTTCTAGGGACTTTAAACTTAAGTAAAACTGTGGTGCTTGTAATCCCAGCACTCCAGAGGCTGAGGCAGAAGGATCATTGCGAGTTCGAGGCCAGCCTGGGCTACAAAGTGAGCTCAAAGCCAGCCTTAACTGCATAGTAAGTAAACCCTGTCTCAGAAAGACAAAACAAAGAAACTAAGGTGTGTGGAGAAATCAAATTGTTTCTTTGAGGTCATATTTTCTGGAAGGCTCCTAAAATCAGTACCTATAAATATTGGCTTAATAAACATTACATAATTGAAACATAAGAATGTCTCTAATAGCAGCTCAATTAGCATGCATTTCAGTGTGGGAGATTGGAGAGTTCAGACTCATACTTTCACAATATCGGTGTTAGACTGTTTTAAAAGACACGGTTAACAGGTAAGGTAAAGCAATTTAACTTTAACTTGGGTATATCAAGATATGATCAGATTTGATACATTTAGAGATGTAAGTTACCAAAAACGTTTGGTGGATAGCTACCCTATTTTGCCTCTAGTTGTACCAAATTTTCTTACCATTAAAAGGACTGTGAATTGGAGAATCAAGAGGCACATGAGCAAGATGAAAGTGACGAAATAAAGGATTCTGAAGAATTTGGTGAAAATGAAGAAGAAAATGTGCATTCCAAGGAGTTACTTTCTGCTGAAGAGAACAAGAGAGCTCATGAATTAATAGAGGCAGAAGCAGTAGAAGATATAGAAAAAGAGGACATCGAAAGTCAGGTCTTTAGCCAGTTTTGTTAAAACATGACACAGATACATTAAGTTTTAAATTATGAAAAGTTTTTTTTCCTAGTTCAATTTGGAAGTCTCAGAATTAAAAAAAATTTTTTTAAGTTGCTTATAAATTACTCAGAACTACTCAGAATCACCTAAGGTGATTTTTAAAAAAGTTTTGCATATCTCACATATGTATACATTTTTATAGTAGTTAGTTGTTACTCTCTTTTTACTTTCACATATCATCTCATAATCTACACGTTATGTGTACATAATTTATTAGACTGCTTTCTTTGTATGTACTAGCCTTTGCTATAATTCTGTGTACTTAGGGTTTTCCTTATGCTGTGAATGAGTGTACCAATTTCACTCTGCTTTTGCCAGCATTATTTGGTGGCTGGTCCCCTTTTGCTATTTCGGAAAGTATAAAATAAAAAGCCACTTTAATCTGCCTTTCTAAATTATCAAAGGTGGGAAATTACTCATGAAAGTTTAACTTTAAAGCAGTGAGTCGAATCTGATCTTTGAAGTAGACTGTTTGCTCTGCTTTCAAATGTTAGCACAGCTTAACAGAGCTGGAGGGTTAGGGCAGGCAGTGCTGCTGGGACTCACGCTTCCAGTGACCTAAAGACTGAGAGGCTCCACACCTTTCTAATTCTGTGGCGGTGTGACTGATTTTTATGTTGGCCTAGAAAATATAGTCTAAATTCTTGGGTGATTTAGTACTCACAGAATCAAAACATAAGGCAAATGATAATCAGGATTAAACATAAAAGGATTTTTGTGTTTCCCAGATATTTTGTAAAGCAAAGCTATTGTATACCCTTTTACTTAGGAAATTGAAGCTCAAGAAGGTGAAGATGATACCTTTCTAACAGCCCAAGTAAGTTGACATTTAGTCCTACAAGTTGAATGTTGTGGGTGGGAGGGATTGCTTAGAAAAGGAATCTTACTTTGACTTTGTGATTTCATAGAATGGCCTTAAGTTCCATACTGAGTTACTTTCATGCTATATGCAGGTATTTCAACTATTGACAGCTGAAATGTCTTTTGCCAGCAAGGTAACTGGGAGTTAGGAGGTTCCTCTCATTTTCAGGATTGAATGACTGTCCTTTCTGTAAACCAGCACAGTCTTTTAAGATGTTACAAAAGAAAAGATGTTACAGTAATCACTGTGCTGTCTTGGTTCTGTATAATATGTATAATTTTTTAGCAGTTTCAAAGCTTTATTTGGTCTGGCTCTCTGTCTCTGGTGACAGGATCTCGCAGTTCAGGCTGGCTTTGAAGTCATGCTAATCTTCCTGCCTCAGCCTCCTGAGTGCTTCAAAGCTTTATTTTCTTGTGTTTGTTTTTGCTTGGTATAGGGTTTGGTTGTGTGCTTTAGGCTGGCCTCGCACTCATGTGCACAAGGCTGGCCTAAAACAGCCACCCTCTTGCCTCGGCCTCCTCTCGAGTGCTAGAATTACAGATGCATGGCCACCACCCCCATCCCACAGCTTTATTTAAACTGTAGTTAGTTTTAACATTACTAGGTTGAGTTTAGAATAAAAGCGATTGGCTGCGCTGTAGTCTGGCAAGGTTTATTTAGTATATGTGATATTCATAGAGAATATTTTAAATTGTGATGCACAGATGCTGTGAAGAGACATAACTCAAAATCTGGTGGGTTTTAAGAGTCTCGCTTTGTATGCCAGGCTAGACTCAAGCTCGTGGCGATCCTCCTGCTTCAGTCTGGCATGTGCTGGGAATATAGGTGTGAACCGTGTGCCTAGCATCAACATTTGCAGTTTTTTTGTTTTCTTTTATGGCTGGCTCAGCCTGCTTGGGGCAGGGCTGGTGTGGCATGTGTGCCAGGGATCAAACTGTAGTCCCTGTCCCTGTGCTTGCCTAAGCAGGTGCCATAGACCACTGAGCTATCTCACTGGCCCAAAATTTACAGTTTTAAAAATTGTTCTTTGTCCCTTTCTTATTTCTGTTCTCAAGAGCCACTTGTTCATGTGCCCTCTTTAAGTGCTGTGCTTAGAAACAAGTTCTTTCATTTACTAGTTTCAGTAAAGCTAGTGACTAGGCCAGTTGTTTCCACACTGGAGCATTAACTAGCACTGCCTTGTTTACTGGTGCTAGGAAGCGGTCCCTTCCTGCTCTTAGCAGTGGAGAAATGACATTTCTAGAAGGCATGGAATATTTCAGATCATTTGCCATGCTCAGGAGGGAAATGCCAGCATTGTGAAAGTCTGCAGGGCTGTCACCGGTCTTTTTTTTAAATTATTTATTTTTATTACATTTATTTATTGTGTGTGTGTGGCCAGCTCAGCCCACCAGGGGGCGGGGCTGGCTGGCATGTGGTGCTGGGGGATCGAACCGCGGTCCGTATGCTTTGCCAAGCTTGTTTCAAGTAGGTGCTTTAGACCACTGAGCCATCTCTCCAGCCTGTCACCGGTCTTGTCCCCAGGTGCCTGAATTTTTGTTTTCATTGTAAGAAAGATTTCAGAGTGCTTCACTAGATTACCCATTGGCAAAAAGGGAGTGTTGAGTTCTTCAGAGCCTTTGCAAGCACCTAAGACTTCATGAAGTGTCCTTGTTTTTTAAATGGATGGAAAAAATATCTTAAAGAATGGATACCTTTAAGTAAAATGACCTTTTTTCTCTTATAGAAAATGCTGAGTAGAAACACAAATGTCACTGGCCCTGCCCCCTGGGGCCTGCTGAGCCAACAGTAGGGGTGTGGTGGCGCAGGCCTGCAATCCCAGTGCTGGAAAGGCTGAAAACAGGAGGATCAGTATGAGTCCAGGCTGTGTACTGAGACTCTGTAACAAATACATAAAATGGAAAAAAAGAACAAAACCAAAAACACACACATACAGATGTATCTAGATTCTACTTTCTCTCTCTCTCTCTCTCTCTCTCTCTCTCTCTCTCTCTCTCTCTCTCTCTCTCTCTCTCTCTCTCTCTGAGACAGGGTCTCACTGTGCAGTTCAGGCTGTTCTTGAGCTCACTTTGTAGCTCAGGCTGGTCTTGAACTTGCAATGACCCTCCTGCCCCCGCCTCCTGAGTGCTGGGGTTACAGGTGTGCACCACCACACCTGGCATTAGGTCTATTTTTATTTTTTTGCGGAACCGGGGATTGAACTCAGACCCTTGTGCTTGTCAGGGAAGTGCTTATTCTACTGAGCCATCTCCCCACCCCTAGGTCTCTTTTTAATGTGTAAATTTTCCACTCCAGTTTATTTTTCCCCTCTCTTAATTGTTTACCTGGTAGAGTATACGTTGGCAGTTTTTCTTAAAGGCCCAGGTAGTAAATGCTTCCGCGTTTTTGGGCCATCTGGTCTTTGTCACAACTGCTCAGCTCTGTCACTGTCTGTGAAAGCAGCCATTAACAATGCCTAAGCAAGCAGGCATGGCTGTGTCCCGGTAAAGCTATCTCTAAAGCAGGCAGGCATCTGGTGTCACTTGCCAGCTCCTGCTGCAGTGTCCAGCCTTCCCTGACTGCACTCCCGCTGTGTGTGTCAGTGTGCTCCCCAGAGGGTGTGAGGCGCTTTCATTTCTGTGTTGTGAGGGTGCATGGAGGCTGGGCTTCCGGGTGCTGACACATCCATTGTTGCTTTCTTCACTCACTGGGGTGTTTCTACAAGAGAAACTCCCTCCCATCTCTTTGGTTACCCACTAGTATTGATTATAAAAGAAAGCCGAAGCCAGGAACCGTGGCACAGGCCAATAATCCCAGCTCTAGAGAAGCAGAGGCAGGAGACTTGTTTGGACTAAGGTCGAGTTTGAGGCCAGGTTGAACTAAGCTCTTGTCTCAAAACAAAACAAAAAACCCCCCCACAAATGAGAATAAAAGTGTGTGTGTGATTCTTCTCGTTAACGCCACATTTCATGAGTTGGTTCTGCTAGAACTTCTAAGAGTGATCACCACTGAGGTGATTTGGGATTGGTCAGTTGGTTTTGAGTCAGGTTTGCACTGTGCAATCCAGGCAAGCCTTGAACTCGTTTTCTAGCCCGGTGATTTTCCTGCCTGAGCTGGGATACAGGTGTGGTGATCATTGAGCTTTTAAATTTTTTCCCTCCTAGTTTCACTTTGAACTCATGGGTTGGAGATATTTATATTTCATGTTCATTTGTCTTTAGCTAGTAATAGCCTGTTTGATGTTAAGTCCTTTCCATATGATTCCCCCCACCCCCGTACTGGGGATTGAACTCAGGACCATGTGCTTGCCAGGAAGGTGCCTATGCCATTGAGCTATCTCCCCAGCCCTTGCATATGACTTTTTTGTAATCTGATTTATTCCTTTGACTTCTGGTTTGTACAGGTGTTCCATTTTCCTCTTCCAAACCTGTGTTAGACATTATTCCTTTTAGTGACGAGTGATAATTTCGTCACAGTCTTGGTAGTCACAGTGTTTATTGCTCATTGTTTCTAGGCCTTTTCAATATGTAGAGCAAGAGTTGGAGGTTTTTTGCTTTGTTTCTGTCGTTACTTTTAAGACAAAACGAATTTTCAGCCAGGGGTGATTGTACACCACAGAAGCCAAGGCAGAGGGACAGCTGTGAGTTCGAGGCCAACCTTACATAGTGAGTTCAAGGTTGCCCTGAACTACAAATAATGAGACCCTGTCTCAAAAAAAAAGGGATTTTTAGTTATGTGGATGCTTCCAAGTTAATGATTTCCTTTATCTCACTGTACATATATTCACATCCAGTTGTCTTAGGGTAATAATAGCACTATTTGCCAGTGTACTGAAAATAATTTAATACACTGCTTGCCAGTGTACTGAAAATAATTTATGACATTTTTCCCTTCAGGATGTATCCCACTAAGGATGAATAAATTAGTGCCCAAGTTATAGTGTTATTTTTATTTAAATGTTTAATTAGATGACAGAATTTTAGCCCACTGCATGACATCTCTATCCCTCCTTATAGTAGGTCTGCTCTGTTTGATTATATCACCATTATTTAGGTTGATTTACTTATGTATTTTTGTTTGTTTTGTTTTGTTTTGTTTCATGGAACCAGGGATTGAACTCAGGCCCTTGCCTACTTAGGTATTTTTATTTTTTATTTTTTTGGTTTAGTTTTAGTACATGTGTGTTGCTTAATATATTTAATCTGTGACTTACACATTTATAATTATTTCAAAGTGAATATTAGCAATTTTATCCTAACTTTATAAATACTTAATTTACCTGATTCCAAAGTCCAAACTTTGTGACATGATGCCACAAAGCTTCCTGCTATCCCTGTTAACATGACTTTTTTTGGTATCGGGAATCGAACTCAATACCTTGCCCTTATCAGACAGATATGTGTGCCACTGAGCTATATTCTGGGCCCTAAAATCACTCCTGTCAAAAGTTGTCATTTATTCCTCAGGCATTCACCTCTATTACAGCAGGTAAAGCTTGACTCAGATTGTCATACCTTGCTAGATTGGTATAAAGATTAATCCCAGACCCTGGGATGTGGACATGCGCAATTAGTGGTTATTCATTTTTTTAAATAAGTTTTGAGATACCACTTTTTTTCTGAACATTTTTTTCTTTAAAACATTCTTGTTTTCTAGTGTTTTAATTCTGAAAAATTTCGTTTAGTTTTCAAGAACCTCTGCAGACTTCTCTGATCACATCATGTGTATTCCTTTTTCTTTATACCTTTGTTCCTAATGTCTCATTCACCTGAAGGTCAGGCTGTTCTTGAACCTATCTAGCCCACCTGCCTGCATGTGAATCTTCCTGCCTCAGCCTCCTGAGTTCTGGGCTTATAGGTGTGTGTCACCACGCCCGGCTGAGTTTTGTATGCCTTCCAAGGTGGATTTGTGTCTCCCTTCAGAAAGCATTCTGACTGCCTGTCCTGGAGAGTGCTGTCCTGATCACAGAGACAGTT